TGCAGTGGCCACTGCGAGGGAAGGAAGAGGCGGGCCAAACCAATGGACACGAGACCGCACCCTGCAGATGAAGGTGAGTTTGCCTGGTATGGGCCCAGACCTCGGATGTCGTGCTGTTCAAGGCGGGGTCCCCAGTAAGTCCTGACCCCTCCTCCAACTCCTCCTCCTCCAACTCCTCCTCCTCCTACTCCTCCTCCCCTCCTCCTCCTCCTCCTCCTTCCTCCCCCTCCTCTCCTCCTCCTCCTCCCTCTTCTCCTCCTCCCTCTTCCTCTCCCTCCTCCTCCCCCCTCTTCTCCTCCTCTCCTCCTCCTCCTCCTCCTCCTGCTCCTCCTCCTACTCCTTCTCCTCCTCCCCCCCTCCTCCTCCTCCTCCTCCTCCTCCTCCTCCTCCTCCTCCTCCTCCTCCTCCTCCTCCTCCCTCTTCTCCTCCTCCTCCTCCTCCTCCTCTTCCTCCTCCTCCTCCTCTTCCTCCTCCTCCTCCTTCCCCTCCTTCCCCGGGGCCATTGTCTCGTCCTGGAACATCATTTGACGGTCCCGCGGGACCCAAAGGCGGCCTCGGAACGCCAAATGAAACCTTTACGCCTTGAGCTGGTCAAGATACGGGAGCCCTGGGTACTTCTCGTCATCCAAGAAGTTTCTAGTCACTACCCGAGGCCCCAATACTGTAGGGTCCATGAGCGTTCAGAAACTTCAATCCTCGACCCTGGAACGTCAATCTTTCTTCCTAGGAACAGTTACACAGGAACCCCCCAAGTCCCGTATGTCGTGATGTCATGAGCTCCAGTCGGCACGTGACCGGATCTCTGTGGAATGCCACACGGGGAGTGTTCGCAGGATGCTGGGACCACATCCAAAAAAAACGACAGCCAATACCAGCGGTCTGTAAGTATGCAAGATCGAAGAATGCAGGATACAGGACCGAGGATCCAGGCTGTGCGGCGTCGCTGGGCCCCTCTGGGAATACCCGAGGTCAGTGTGCATGCAGGATCGAGGATCGAGGATGCAGAATGCAGGATACAAGATCGAGGATCGAGGTTGTTGGGCGTTGCTGGGCACCTCTAGGCCTCCAGAGGCCTCCGGAGACCTCGCGGGGGGCCCGCCCAAACCCCCAAGGCACCTCCGCGCTCGACCCTGGAATCCGCGTTTACCTGTCCTAGGACTGCAGAGGAGGGCGGGGGAGGACGAGAGGGAGGGGGAGGAGGAGGAGGAGGAGGAGGAGGAGGAGGAGGAGGAGGAGGAGGAGGAGGAGGAGGAGGAGGAGGAGGAGGGGGGGAGGAGGGGGAGGAGCCGAAGGGCGGCCAGCCGGACACCAGAAAACAAACGACACCACCACACCTACGGCCCCACGGGGCTCGGCGTATACCAGCGGTCGTCTTGGCGTGGGCTTTTGCGTGGCCCGCGCTGCGGCCCCCGGAGGGCCGCAGCCCGGGGTGGTGTCGTGCTTGCTTCTTGCGGGTCTGGCGAACGGGGGGGATAGCAAAGGGGGGGGTTGCGAAGCAGCTCGCGTAGCTGATTTTCCCCGCGCCTCCCGGCGCCGCAGGCGCCCATGCATCGAGGGATGGGCCCCTCGGTGAGGCCGAAACCAGCTGCACGCAGCAAATCCCGCCCCCCCCCTTTCCCAATCCCCCCCTTTCGTCCGGCCCGATTCTTGGTCGACTCGGGCCTGGTGGAGCCGACCCACCCCGTCCAACGGACACTTCTGGCAGCCTCCGAAGCTTCTTCGCACTCTTGAGCAGGGACCGACCGTCCCGGCATTCCTAGAGTCCTACCACGACATGTTCTTAGAACCCAGAAATGTTCCAAGAACCAAAGCAGTCTTCTTAGAACATAAACCCGATGTGTTAAAGCAAGGCAGACTCCGCCAGAAATGTTCGAAGAACATGTCGTGGAAACCACAAAGGGTTCTTAGAACATTGCTTGGTAGGGCTATAGGCGAGCCAGGACGCTTCGCCACTGCTTGACACTCTCGCGCCGCACCCTGGCGGGGCGCCGCCCTCTGGCCTCAAAAGCCGCGAGGGCGCGAGGCGCGGCTGGCTCTGCGCCGCCCCCTCCTCCTCCCGCCCTCCTCCCCACCTCCTCCTCCTCCTCCTCCTCCCCCTCCATCCCTCCCTCCACCCTCCCTCAACTCCATCCTCCTTCGCTCCTCCTCCTCTCCTCCTCCACCTCCTCCCGTCCCTCCCTCCCTCCCTCCCTTCCCTCCCCACCCTACCTACGCCTCCCTCCCTCCCTCCCTCCTCCTCCTCCTCCTCCCCTCCTCCTCCTCCTCCTCCTCCTTCCTCCTCCTCCTCCTCGTCCTCGTCCCTCGTCCTCCCCTCCTCCTCCTCCTCGTCCTCCTCGTCCTCCTCGTCCTCCTCGTCTCCTCCTCCTCCTCCTCCTCCTCCTCCTCCTCCTCCTCTCCTCCCTCCTTCCTCGTCCACCTCCTCCCTCCTCCTCCTCCTCCTCCTCCTCTCCTCCTCTTCCCTCCACCTCCTCCTCCTCCTCGTCCTCCTCCTACCTCCTCC